CCTCCCAAGCAGTAGGATTACAGGTGCACACCACCATACCTAGTCTCAATCGCTGTCTCAGTGTGCCCTGGGTTGGGGGCCATCATGGTTTGTGCCAGGGATTGAACCCTGGTTCCTGCATCTGTCTAGGCACTTTAGTCCATTGAACTATCTGGCCAGCCCCCCAGGGTGGTCTTGAAGTCACAACCTCAGCCTCCCAAGGGCTGGGATTACAGGTATGTACCGCCATGCCTGGCACGTAAATCACAGATTTTATTTTTGTGGTACTGAGTATCAAGCTTAGGGCCTGGTACTTACTAGGCAGGCACTTAAGCCACTGAGCCATTTCCCCAGCTCTTTTGTCATTTTGAGACAGGGTCTCACTATACTACAGTTCAGGCTGGTCTCAAACTCAGGCATCCTCCTAGCTCAGCTTCCCAAACACTGGGATGACAGGTGTGTGCCACCACAGCTGGCAAAGCTCAGGTTTTTGTCACTGGCCACACATCACGTCAGTGTTTGTTTTCAAAGTGTGGTACCTTCCCTTGGTTCACGTTTTTAAAATCAGCCAGATGCCCAGGTCTTCTCACCGTCACCTGGTCAGAGTACTTCCCATGGACGCTGGACATCCGTGTGGACCGCAGGCGGGCGGAGGAGCCTCCTCGTGGCCTTGCTGCGGCGTGCACCGGAAGCCCTCCGTGCAGACTGCGTGCCTTTCCTAGGCCAGTGAGGACGGTGACCAGGACAGTGCTGCTGCCGCGCTCACAGCCCCTCCTGCTGCTCCCTGAACAGGCCAGCAGCACAGCCATGGTGGGCAGGACAGGCCAGTGGCTTCCAGTCAGCCACGAGACCGCCGGGACAACTGGAGGGAGCCTTGGGGCCTAATGGAGCCGCGACCTCCACACTGCTCAGCAGGGGCGTCTGCGAGCCACTGGGGAGGGCAAGGGCGTTCTGTAGGGACAGCTGAACAGAGGTCATTAGAACCAGCAAACGGGAAAGCTGATTGCTTCAAGGAGCGAAGAGTTAGGGCTGGAGAGGACACCAGGAACACCCCCAGCTGAGGAGTGGGGTGATGGGGCCTCATGAACACCAGGGACCCCGTGTCCAGCTGTGACAGTCTGGCTCCTTCTCAAGCAGGAGGCCCACTCCACCTGCCCTGTGTGGGGAGCCCCGAGGGTGAGCGTGGCCCGCGGCTGTGCTCAGGAGGCTAACCCACTGCCCTTGGGGTTCACGGCGCCGAGGTGTGGCCAGAGCAGGGTCCCGGGCCTGCTGTTGGCAGGAAGGACCTGGGGGCAGCCTGCCGCGGTAGGCTGGCAGCAGTGGGACTGCAGGGATGCCCAGCAGGCCGCCCGGCATCTGGGACTGGAACAAGGCAGGTGACAGCGACCCTTGGGCCTGGGCCTGGTGTCCCCCGTGCTCTGCCAGGGAAGGGGGTGGTGCAGTGCTGGTGAGCACACGCGCAGCGGGCAAGGCCCCCCAGGGGTGTCTGAGGCTGCAGCTGACGAGACACGTGTGCTGGCTGCTTGGCTTCTCGTGTCACACGGCTTCCTGAGGGGCCCGTGGTTACAACGGCCCGCGAATAGCTCCTGGCCCAGCCTTTGGGGCCAAGGGAGCTAGCCCTGCACTCCTCCGGAGACTGCTCTGGGCAGTGGCACGTGGTCAGCCACACCCCAGACAAGGCCTCTGCCGCAGCGCTAGCTCCTGAAGTTGCTCTGCGAAACAAACAGGGTCGCCTGAATCTGGACCTGGGCTGCTCCCAGGAGGCTGGGAGGTCCTGGCCCCAGGCACCGCCGCACATCTTGTACCTCTTGGTCTCTGCTGTGGGCCAGTGAGGGAGGAGAGGGCTCCTGCTGGGCCAGGCCTTCCATGGTGAGTGGGCGCCCCCACATCACGCTGATCCCAGGCCACTGCCGGGAGCTGTGACCTGGTGGGTGCTGCAGTGGACCAGGTGCCTGGGAACTCAGAGCCGTGGGACTGGTGGGCACAGGTGGATGCTGCCCACAGCCTCTGGGTGGCCCTCAGCTGGGATGGAAGGGATGAGTGCACATGGTTCCGTTTCACCGAAAAACGTTTGAAGCCACGTCCTGGGATATAGCTCATCAGCATAGGCACCTGCCTGGCAAGTACAAGGTCACAAGTTCAATCCCCAGCCCACAAAAAAACAAAACAAAACTGAAGCCCCCAATTTTTCTTTTTTCAGTCTTTCAGACGGCCTCACTGCAGCTCAGGCTGGCCTTGAGCTCACTTTGTAATCCAGGCTGGTGTCAAGGATCCAACTACCTCCTCCCAAGTGACAGGAGTGAGCCGCCACATCTGGCTATAGTCATAATTTTAAGAACCAAGTTGGAGCTGGTGGGCACAGCCTGCTTGGCACCCCCCACCCCTGTGGCTCTCGTGCCCCTGGACCCCCTCAGCCCAGCCATCTGTCCCACATACACCAGGACCAGGATCGAGGCTGGGGCTGCACCAGCATGTAGATCCTGTTCCCTTCTCCAGGAGGCAGCATCCCTCCCAGGGTCTGTGCGCTCAGCTTGACAGACAATTCAAAATAACCAAAGCCAAATTTTCAGGTAAAACAGGAGCCACTTTGGGTAACATACCGCACCTCCAGTACACAACAGTGGCATGGAGGTGGTGTGAGGAACCAACGGGCAAACAGCCCCTGTCCTTGGCACGAGCCTGGGTTCAAGGCAGCGTGGGGCTGCAGCCGGGGCTGCTGTGAGTAGAGGGCTGGCCATGGGTGGTGAGGGCCCTGCGGTGCACCCCAGGAACCTCTGCCGCTGAAGTCACAGGTGGAGATGCAGCTGCGGGAAAGTCATACCACACAGCGTCCTGTCACCACCTGCCACCCTC